ACATATCTTAATGTTTATGAAGCATTCACACTATTGTGATCCATATCTTAACATTTATGAAGCATCCACACTATTGTGATCCATTTCTTAATGTTTATGAAGCATTCACACTATTGTGATCCATATCTTCTGTAGGTTTTTCAGCATCTTTCTCGTTGCTGTTTGTGCCATTTCAACAAATCATAAAATCAAAACGTTCAGCTCTTACAGGACAATCTCGCTATGACTTTTGGTATGGGTGCAACTTTGGCTTTTTTAAATATTTAGCCTTTTCTGCCATTTTTTTCCCCTCATAGAAAATTAACTGTGCTCATTTTACATCCTTCAAATCTGTAGATGCGTTTACAACCTTTTACTGCTCCTTTTACAATTTCTTCTGTTCAGCTTCTTTCAGCTTCCTTGTGCCCATTTAAACTGTTTTCAGCCATTTTCAGCTAATTTCAGCTGTTTTCAGATAATTCCCACTTTTTTGTGCCCGTTTCTTTTTCTTTCAGCCTAATTGGGCAAACATGTTTTTGTTGCTTTCTTCTGCTAATTTAAGCTCGGTCTACTTCTTCAGCTACGTCACATTTCTGTATAAGTCACATTTATTATGCGTAGGGCTGGACAATAATTCAATATCGATATATATCACGATATACTTTTATTCAATAACGGTGATATGAGTTTTAAGCACATTTTCAATATTTCGATGATTACAGCGTTTCATTGACACATTTCTTTTTCTGTTGGGGTTGAAACTGAAGCGGCCGCTTCAGTTTCAACCCCAACAGAAAAAGGTGCCACACAACTACGTAAGTGCGTGGTGACGTAGATGTGATGCAGAGCTCGTCCAGGCGTTAGCGGTAGCAGGCTAGGCTAATCTCCAACGTGCGTTAAGTTTTCGCTTCAAACTGAGCGCCCACGACCGTCAGAATGTGACTGAACAAGCTTTCACAAGCGAAGAGAAAGCAGATGAAATAACTGATAAAAGAGGAAAGACTAATTTGTCGGTGTGGAAGTGGTTCGGCTTTCTAAGCTCCGATAAACTGCAGGTTTCAGTCAGTGTGCTGCAAAATGTGACGGAGAGTCGTTTAACTAGCGGTGGGAACACATCGAACTTGTTTCATCATCTGAAGTTTCCACTTGATAGAATATGCCGAGTCAGAAGATGAAGCACGATAAAAGTTTGAGTCAACGTGTCCCTGAAACGCCACCCCCAGCTGCATCAAAAGAGGAACTGCATGGGCTATGTTGTTGTTTAAAGTTAAAACTATTAATATTGACAAAGTTGAGAGTTTTATGTTTGACGGTGATTTCAATTGTTTTTAAGGCTAAATACAAATAAAAGGTGAACATTAATTTATTTGTACAGTTTAAGGCTTTTATATTGTTTATATCGATATCAAATTAAATCGTTATTCGAAATTAAGAAATATATTGTGATAAAAGTTTTGGCCATATCGTCCAGCCCTAATTATGCGTCACCGCTGACCGCCCGGAAACGTGGGCCAGTGTGCCAAAAATCGATATGGGAGCGTGCACGGGAGGAATTTAACAAGATTAAACACTTACAATTATTTGTTTGCTCGAATTTATAGCAAAGTTGTGTCTCAGTTCAACCTTTCTTATGCTCTTTGAGGGTGAAATCAGCTGCATTTCACCTGGGTGTTGCTGCGAAATGCAGCTGATTTGACATTTACTGCAGGAGTTATGGAGCGAGACGAAGGTGGCTTTGTATGGCAAGCCAAGTGTCTCATTAATAGCCACTTTTACCTATTAATGAGACACTTGGCTTGCCATACGAGTTGAATGCCCTCTAGTGGCTTAAAATGGTAGTGTTCAATATTTTCCATGTCAGAATGAATGAAATTGTCAAATTTTAGCCACAAGTTATAAATATGGAAAAAAAACATAACTAAGTCACTTTGCTGTATAAGTTGCAGACATACTAATTTTTGCAATTTTGCAAGAAAATTGCGGTACATTTTTAGCTAATTTAAGCTGTCTTTACATAAATTGAAGTTTTTCATGCACTTCTGCTACTTTCAGCCTAATTAACTTCTGCTAATTTCAGCTCATCATGCTCCTTTCAACCCATTTCAGCTAATAGCCTTTTCTGCTGTTTCAGCTACCATTTAGCCGTTTTTATGCTAAATTTAGCTTTTCCAGCTGAGCTTATTCCAGCTCTTTGTGCTTCCTTACAGTAAGTTAAGTTTCTTTTTGCCTGTTCAGCTACTTTCAGTACGTTGTGCTCATTTCTGCTTATTTAAACCTAATTCCGCAAAATTGTTTTTTTTTTTTTCCCCGCTTCCTTCTGCCAAGTTTGTTCATCCATTTCAGATGCATTTCAGCACGTTTTTAGCTAATTTCAATTGTTTTTCTGCAAGTTCTTCTGCAACAAGCATTCACACTGCATTCTTGCAGTAAATGCAGTTTCTGTAGTTTCTTTAAAATTCATATATGTTCCTGTACTTGCGATCATGTTGAATTCGGGGGTTATGCGATGCAGAATGATCCCACGTTGAAGAAATTAACTTCAGCTTTAGCAGCTTCAGCTCAAGCACAGACGTAATATAGACGTCTTCCTGCAAAAGGTCAGCACCACCCTGCAAGCAGGCTCTGCCATTTCTCCTCTTCACTCAGAGAAATAAATCCACAAATGCTCCTATTCTGGCACCGGAGTTAACCAGTTTATCATTCTTTATAACAAGATCAGGAAAAGGTGCTAAAACCAACAAAAATCCAACTGAACATTGTTCATGCCAAATATGTCAGATTTTTTTTTTTTTATTCCTATTATAAACATTTACGTCCATTTGTAAAAAAAAAAAAAGCTATTGCTGCTAGAAGACCAGTCTGGTTGGACAGTTTCACTGGTCTAAATGGGTTTCTCAAAGCAGATGCTGAATCGGTGCATGATTTAAATAAATCATCAGCAATGATTTTCAAAAAAACAACAAATTTACATTAAAGCAACTTCACGTTGCTTGGCACGATAAAAGGGCATTTTTTAAAAATGTAATGTGCACGTCGTCTCATAAAATGTGTTAAATACAACCATTTCATTTCTGTAGCTTAGTCGTTTTGTTTGGTCGATGCTCGAGACGGACCAAATAATTTGAGATTGGTCAAACTAATCAGTAATCCGCCATAAATTAAGATACGGTGTATACAAGCAGCTCACTGCAGGCTCCTTTTTGTAAGAGATGTTATAATAAAATACAGCAAATGACGTTAAATTGGTGTTTCATATCAGACATTGGCTGCCATAGACCATAAAATAATACACACCGGTCGACCTTTAGTTAAAGCCAGGGAAATTAAAATATCCAAGTGTTACGCAACAGAGCTGTAATAATGTCCAACAATGTAGCAGCTGAGACGCTCCGTGTTCAGAAATAGACTTTAGAGGTTTCAAAGAGCTGTGGGAAATACTTTTACATTATACTTTTAAATGAAGTTTTTCATCATTTGTACTTCTGATGGGTTGACTGTATCTGTACTGGTGTGTACCATGAAAAAAAAATACAAATAAAATAAAGTGAATTTTACTCTGACTTTACTCCCAAAACAAGATATTCATAAAGTCTGACGAGTATCTAGAATAAATGACAAACTAGGTTATCAGAATATTTTGCAGAAATATTAAAATCCTGTGAAGCATGGCTTTAGCTGATAGTGATCATCTTCAGCTGTTTCCAGATCCACCAATGGGAGCAGTGGTCGCGCGTGCAACAGGGCGGCAGGACTCCACGCTTCATTCTTCACGCGGTGTTGGTGATGGAGCCTCAGCACTGATTTCATTCAGACCGTTTCATGAAAGCCACGCGCAGCTGTCAGAAGAAATAAAAAAAAAACTAACGTACCTTCTTTTTGGAGTTGCAGTGGCAGCACACGGTCCACAGATATTTGAGGGTCCTCCACAGCAGGATTATGAAGAGCCCCCCAAAGAAAGTGACCATGGAGGAGGCGAGGAAAGCCCACCACATGCGCTGGCTGTCGCAGGGCATGTCGGGCGACGACGGGATGAAGAAACTCGGTCTGGGTATGTGGATCGGCGAGTCCGGGATGAATTTCTCTCGGTTTTTCGCCATTGTGGACTTTCTGGTCAGCCCCTGGAGCAGAAACGAAGAGTCCGATTCAGGCGCTTTGTGGAGCTCCGGCCAGCGCCCCCTGATGCCCCAGCGGCTCGCGCATGTTTCAAACCGTCCACCTGCTGCTCAGAACGCTGCGAAGTTCGGTTGGGCACGAGAATTAAAAAAAAAATAACTTCAGGAATCAGGATGACGTCATCCGCTTGACCCGCGCATACAAAAAAATATATATAAATATTAAAATCACATCGTGCGCGAGCTGGTTCCCTGCCCCGCTCGTCTTCTTCTCATAGTGGCATCAAAAGATGCTTCGCCCTCCTCCCCCACCTGTTTGTCCGCGTCGCGCGCTCCTCGGATTAAAGCTCGCGCGTCGTTCACAACAAACACGCAGTTTTCACTGAAACACGACGCAAACGCGCCGCTCGTTGTCGGTGACTGGAGTTCTGCTGCTGCCGACCCGCCGAAGATGGCTTCAGATTTACAGGTAGCGGGGGGCGGAGCCACAGACACGTCGACGCGTGCAGTTATTTATAGAGCGCGTGGAGGCGAAACACCTGTTTGTTTTCAAGACCTGGAAATAAAATCAGTCTCGATCTGACCATTAAACGAACTCACACAAACTGTGCAGTTCGGGAGTGAAACTATTTATAACCAGGCACCAAACATTTAAACATTTGGCTTAGAAATAATAAGGTCAAAAATAATAATACAAAAAAAAATTAATGCTTTTTAGAAGGATGAAATTTTTCTCGTCTCTTCAAATTATAATAAAAAGGTCCATTTTTTTTTTTTTTTGGTTAGCAGTGAAACTGTACATTTAGAAGTGTTTATGAATGAGCAGCTGGAACTAAGTTATAAAAACAAAGTTATGACTTTACGCCCCCTGGTGGACAAATGTTTCATAGCCGAGACTTTTTTCATTTAGTTTTTTTTTTGTTTGTGCTCTTCATCTTTTCATGACCTTTTCTGGTATAAGTGCCTACCTTGTCGGGACCGACAGTCCTTATAGGAACCAGAACCACACCCTAATATAGTGGACCTTCTTTGGGTTAGGGTTGGGGATAAGATGACATGAATTGAGGTTAGACATGTACTGATAAGGTTAGTTCAACAAATAACGTGTTTGTGTGTGAAATCAACCAGGTACAATTTTTAAACCAAAAACTCTAAACAGTAACGGTTTTATTTTAGGAAATCATTTACGAAAAGTTTCCTCCGACTTGGTAAAACGTTGCAGCATAACTCAAGAGGTACCTGTACCGTATTTTTCAGAATATAAGACGCACGTAAAATCCTTGAATTTTCTCAAAAGTCGACTGAGCCTTATGTATTAATTCTGGTTGCGCTTACTGACCTCGAACTGATTTTATGTGCAACAACAGAACAATGAAAACAGACCCGTTCATCGATATTGCGCCTTATAGTCTGAAAAATACGGTAATTATAGTTGACAGCTAAACATGAACCATATCTAAAATATCCCTTTACATGTCACGTGTTTAAAGACGTAGATTAGCAGAACCAGCAGGACACAAAGTAGTGAAACTAAACCAAACTTGCTACATGGTTTATGCTTGAAGTGGTGGCGTTTAGCTTTCCAAGAAGAACTTATAAAGTTGGCACAAGGTCATGTTGGAGGACTGAAATGAAAATGACAACACAAAAACTGCAACATCAGTACTTTTCCTCTATAAATAAATATTCTAACATTAAACTACGCAAGTACAAAAGGGTTTAAAGAAACAACATTCATTTGATTAGATAAATTAAATGGGAGGTAAAATACATATAAACATGTGACATAACGTCTTCATTTCAACAACATGGTCTTCTGGTTTCCATTGGTGCAGATTCGTTGTGGTTCAACACATTCATGCAACAAAAACGAGAACAGAGCTTCTAAAATATGATGGATGATAAAACATTCAAGTATTAAATACTAGTGTAAACAAATCTATCTGTAGTACAGTTCATCACTACTGTAGTGGAATATTGCGCCATCAGTGCTGATGGCTGTTAACGGAGCTCGGCTGCGGTGTACAAGAATATCCATGTATGGTGAATCCTGCTGGGACAACAATCACTACATGACGGCTGCAGGCGAGCTGTGGTGAGATGAAGTTCTTATGGCGCTCCGTCTGGAATCCACAGGACTTTATTCTGTTCCTGCTCCACAAGGGTCATGATCTGAGTGCAAATGTGAGAGAGGCTGCCTCCCTGGACAACGCCTGCAACACAGTGAGGGTGGGGAGGAACATGTACACGATGGGTAAAATGCTGAATGGATTTATTTTTAGATCGAGTGGCTATTCTAAAGAGTTATTTTCAATTTGAGATTTAAAACATAAGGACAGCATAAAAAACAAATTTGACAGAAATGTGTGTTAGAAACTTATTACATCTTAATTACCGTATTTTCTGCCGTATAAGTTGCATCTTTCTGCATAAATTAGCATGCCCTACGACTTATACACCAAAGTGACTAATATACATTTTTTCCCATATTAATAACCCAATTTTTGGCTGAGATCCGACGATTTCATTCAGTTCGACATGAAAGATACTGAACACTACCATTTTCAGCCGCTAGAGGGCGCTCAACCAATGTGGCAATTCAAGCGTCTTATTAAAAGCAAGTAGGTATCTCTGCAGACAAATTCGAAAGGTGTATCTGGGGGGCACATCTGATTAGACGATAGAAAAATGGGCGTGTCTGGAGGGCCACATCTGACTGAACAAAAAAAAAAAAAGCTGTTTTGTTAACCACAGACATGTCTATGGTGTTAACCGGTTCAACATTAGCGGTGTCTCCATAACTTCTTTCCGCCTCTCTTAACACAGAACTTCCAGTTACATTTCAAAATAAGAGCAACATAAATTGGTAGTGGGGAGAGCTAAATGTTTGTTTTTTTTAATACCTAGCCATTACATTAAAAAACAAAATCCATTTTGGTTGTTGAAAAATGTGAAAATAGTTACAATTGGTTCATAAAGAAAGAAAAATAAAGTAACCAAAATATTAATGATACTTAAAGTGGCCTTGAGACTAAAGATGTTTCCTTTAACTTCACATTCTCTTGTTCAACCTGCAGTCACTGCAGATGAGTGATTGTCAGTTTCTGTCAGATTTCTGCACCTGGAGCAGGTATTTCTGTTTACTGGTTAACTTCCTCAGCTGTGTCACATTTTAAGGATCAACCCTACTCCATGTTTCAGCTCCTTTCATAGATCAGGTCTCATAGAAGAACTTCTAAAGAGCAAATTTTGTTTTTAGCGTTTGTTTTGGGCCATGATCTCATCATAGGACTCACGATCTTTAATTGAGACCAGACTTTTTGACAAATAGGAGCAGGTTTCGCTTCAGATGCTTCACATTTCATTGTACCCAGACCACACTCAAGGCAACCTGTGTCGGGTGCAGCCTACAACCAAGAACACAAGATGATCTTCTTGTGTGACAGTAGATTTAACGCTGGTTTTTAAAAAAGACCTGACGTAACTTACCTGAAGAGCAGCAAATACAGTAAGCCAATCAGTGTTTGCCCCCACAAACTCCTATTCTCCAGAAACGCCCACTTTTTTTATCTGCAGAGAACCCCTGCTCATTAAAAGTGGATATTAATGAGACACTTGACTTGCCATACCAAGCCACGTTCGTCTCACTCCGGTACTCCTGGAGCAAACGTCAATCCAGCTGCATTTCGCTGTGCAGCCCAGGTGAAACAGCTGATTTGACCATTAAAGTGCATTTATTAAGAAAAAGTTAAATCGAGACACACCTTTACTGTAATGTCGAGCAAACAAACAATTGTTTTTAGGTGGTTATCTTGTTAAATTTCGAAGAAAATGCACAGCGAGTCCTCCCTCTGCACGCTCCTGCAGCCGCAAGTCGATTTTTGAAATGCAGCTGATTGGACCAATACAGTGCATTAAGGAAAAGTTGGACTGAGACACCTTTACTATAATTATGAGCAAACAAATAATTGTTTTTAAGTGTTAATCTTGTTAAATTCTGTTAAAAGTCCTCCCGTGCACGCTCCCGTGGCCGCCATTTGGCAGCCAATTGATTTTTGGCACGACACCGGCCCACGTTTCCGGGTGGTCAGCAGTGACTGATAAACACGATGCATCAGCGGTGATACATAATAGATGTGACTTGTACGGTGAAGCAACTTATGTTGGGGGGGGGGTTCCATTTTTATTAGAAATTCTTGGACTGATGTGACATACAGCGGTGCAACGTGTACGGTGGAAAGTACGGCATTTAATTTGCTAAATCATTAAGAAATCTAGTACAGTCTCCAAATGCTTTATTGACTAACAATCAAAGCACAGTAGATTAAAATAGTTATTGTGTAATAATTGGAGACCAGTTTGCAGTTTTAAAAACAAAACCCATTAAATTTACACCTTAAGGTGTAAATTTAAAGTTTGATACGTAACCAATTTACATGAATGTTTTAGTATTCTGAGAGAAATCGACCTGAAGCCTTGTGTGAAGAGGTAAAGTTAGCATCACTCAAACATCCCATTTACAAAACAATATGCTGCATTTTCAATCTGTTGTCAGTCGTTTACACCCGCTTGCTTCTCTCCCGTTTATCTTCACAGAGTTCCGTCTTAAAAACGGCTAAATCCACAATTAGGCTGCTCTAATTTAAAATTTTTAATAATTCTGTTGTATTAAGACTAGGGCTGGGCGATATGGACCAAAATATCTCAATATTTTACGATAAATGGTGATATACGATATATCAATATTTTTTCCTTTCTATAAAGTAATTAAAACATATTTCTGCGTCAAAGCTTTGTCCCATTTGTCACAGGCACTTTTATTAACGAACAGCTGTAACAGTAAAAAAATGGGATGTGCGCCGTTGGTGCAGACGAGAGAAGAAGAGCTACACGGATTTTCAAGTCTAAAAATACTCGATGGTTGTGATGGAGCCATTTTAACCATCGTACATTGAAAAACTCGTGATACTTCGAGTATATCTGATACATCGCGCAGCCCTAGTTAAGACTACATGTTGCACTGAAGTTAATTTAGAAACATAGTGGGTGAAACGTGCTTGAATAAGTTTAGACTTTGTTACTTTTTAAAGTAATACAATTTCTTAAATGATCTTTATGCTGCTTCTCTAGCTTTTCTAGTAAAAAAAACTGGGACCAGTGACCTGAGAATCCTCACACAGCGGCACATACACATGTATTTGAACTTTCCCAGAGGTTATGAGGGTGTTTGTGAATTATTTTTAAAACATTAGTGAGAAATGTAAGCTGGTCTAGTCATTCGAATGGAAAAAGTACCTTTAAGTTTACCCAGCTCTACTTAATATTACAAGCTCATACACTATAAATCCATTTCTCATCACCGTGTGTGAAAGTTGGTCAACTTGTCCTGGTTTGAAAAGATCAGCAGTCGTGTGTTATAGTCATTAATCAGCTTTTCAAACGGCTCACAAAACTTTGAAAAGTTGAAGCCGTCAAGTATTTTATATCCAGTTAAAACGTCAAAAACAACAAAAGTCCCATATGAAATCATTTTTAGGCTGAAGTTTGTAAACTTCATTCGTTGGACCTGAGTGAGGAGTCATTTCCACCGACCTGTGAAGAAGTGGCTGTATTCCTGCTCTATTCTCTGCGCCGCCTCAAACTGCTCCTTGGAGTGTTTCTGAGAGAGTTTATCTCGCAGGTACAACGGATCCTTCTGCTCTCTGAGGAGAAAGCAGCCACACCCGTCAGAAACTTGACACACACACACACACGCAGACTCGTTCAAAATGTGCAGTTTCTTTCATTATAGTTACATTTAAAATTATGATTGATAATTTCATGTCATATTCAAATGAGGCTTTATTATAAGTTAGGGATGCACAATATTATCGGCATGGTATCAGCTGATGTTAGCGTTAAAGTTCAATATCGGCCATTCCATTAAAATAACTCGCAGATATAAAAGGCACCGTTTCTGCCTGCAGTGGCAGCACAACGTGATGACGTCAAGCACGCCCACCTGATCTCACGGCTGAGAGGAAAATTAAAAATGTCGGCGGTGTGGAAGGTTTATTTTTCGTTGGCGAGGACGTTGAAATCCAAAGACTTCTGGACTACGTCGAGCCTCGCTACATCGTCCCCAGTCAGATATTTTTCCGACGTAGCCTTACCCGAGTTACAAGCCGTCATTTCCGACGTCACTGAGAAGCTAACAGCCGATAGCACTTGGGGTTTTACCACAGACATTTGGACGTCGTGTTAGCCTCGTTAGCATGATTAGTCTTACGGCACAATGGATAGACAAAACGTTGAAAGTCTGTCCTTCATGCACAGGAGTGCAGAGGACCCCACACTGCAGCTATGAACCTGGAACAAGCCTCCACAAGTGAGACAGCATCGCAGGCGACTAATGCTAATAAATAATAAACACTTCTCGTTTAATATGAGTTAAAGTGCTATGCATATCATATGGCTGTTACTGAATCTGTCACCAGCTCTTACAGCTGTTACACAATTTTTGTAGCAAATAAGCCTAAATAAGACAAATATGTTCTGACAAAGGAGCGTATAGGAAATATCGTCAGATTAGTTTCATCAAATCAGCATATTGGATATCGGCCAAAAATCCAATATTGTGCATCCTATTATAAGATCTTTATTTCCCCCCTTTCAGTAAATGTTCCCTAAAACCCCAAAAAGTCAAACCTAAATGTGTTCCCTAAAACCTAGTAATATTTGTTAAGCTTTTAAAAACAAGTTTGTTCAAACATGAACAGATTTTAACTGCACAACATTTTCTCCTCATTACACACATGAACTACTATCAAAGGTGTAAAACATTAAAAAGTTTAACTAAAGGCCAAACAGTTAGCACATTGTAACCAAAAACAATGTGATTGTATGCATTTACTATTATTTTTTTAATTCATTTATATTATTATATTTATATTATATCTTATTATTTATACTAATTTGTTTATTTTTATATTTTTTATTTAAATTTATGCATTTACTAAACAACATTTTATTTTTAACACCAGTTAGCATCCATTTCAGTGTATTTAAAAACAGCCTAAATTTGAACAACTGGAAACAAGTGGAGCATATAAGAGTTTTACTTAAATCTTATATTGTGCAATTTGTAAATTAAATTTTCCAGCTAAAATTAGTAAAATAATCACATGTATTGGCCTAATGACAGCGGTGTTTCATTAGATTTGAATCTAATGTCAACCCTGCTAACAATGTATTAACTTTAAATAGAAACCCAAGTTTAAATGCTTCCAGTTTGCTCAAACTACAACCAGTTTGAGGAAGAAGTCACGTGACTGCAAGTCTTCATGCTCCACCTCAAACCAGTGACCCAACCTACCATTATTTTACAGTTAGCAGTCAGTACGTCCTGCATGTGTAAATTTAGAAGATGTGGCCATTTCAGACACCACACGCCCCAAAGTGAAGCCGCATGCTCCCAGGACAGCTGGCACTCAGCTGATGACATTGAAGGCTTAGCGGGAATCAATCTACCATGTTCCTGCTGCTTCACAAATGTGTGGAAGTGTGTGTGGGAGGCCCAGAAAGCCTGCTCCCATTAGATTTCAGTGTCCATATCGGTTTATGCGCTCAGGACTTGTAAAAAAAACACCACAACAACAACAACATTCAGAGGGTTCGAGACATTTGACATTTCAGCGTCAGATGATTCATGACGCCTGATCCGATGAGACACGTTTATCACTTGGATACATTTATAAATGTGCAGGATGAATAGGATAATAATCGCTCGGCAGATGTTCATTTCTCATCTCCAGGCAAACACCGTTGGGAAAATAAACAAATCGTATGAACTTGATGGATAAACTGTCAATTACTCCGACGTCTATTTGATCATTAACTGACCTAAAGTATTTTATCTATGAAATAAAAAAACATAAGCACATCAAATGTAAAACAGTTCAAAGTGTGGTCAAAGATGTGAATCTGAAATGTAGTCAATAAGTCAATGGCAACAAAATAAAATCATCTTGATACAAAAGTAAAAGAAACAAAGATATGGGAATACTCACTTTATGTGTTTGGCATTTTTGTAGCGAATGAATATGATGATTGGGTAGATGTGAACGCTGTGAAGACGTTCGATGGCATAAGGAGCAATGTGAAGTAAACAGTGACAGTCCTATAAGAGAATGACAGCAAAGAACTGAAAAGTGGGGGATGGGCCAAAGTAAATGTTGCAAAAAAAAAAAAAAAACAGAAATGGTAATAAAAGCTGTGTTTTATCATTTTAATCCTGTAGTCAATGTGTAAAAACTCAGTTGTAAAATATTGATGCAAAAATTATCGATGGGGACTTAAAATAAATAACTAAATAAATAAATACGTACAAAACATATTTTGGAATGTGACCATTTCCATTTACAACCTGATCCAGTGAAGCTACATCACGGTAAGAAGTGCAACGCAAATTCAACCCGATTTACCTTCTCGGCGATCTCCTTTATGGACGCAACAGTTGTCACATCGAAATGCCCGCTCCTTTGTTTGTAGTCGATGAACACACAATCCTTTACTCCTCGCTCTATTGCCTGCTGAGACGCCTTCATGATTTCTAGACGTAAATTTACATTTTAATTAGTACAATTTTACCAATTTATTTCTCTCTACTTGTCACTTTTTTGTTTAAAACTACCTTGAAGTTCCTAATTATGTAGTTCCTTAAATGTCGTGCTTTGCAGAGAGACAAACCTAATGACCTTTTGTAAAATGGGGCTCATTAAGTGTAGAAGCTCACCAGGCAGACAGCGGCAGAACTTGGCAGGAGCTTCCTTCACCAGCACGTCTTTAATGGCCTCTACTAAAGGACCCAAGATGAGCACTGCTCTGGGGAACGAGCAGTCCACCTTCTGAACCCGCTGGTACATCAGGCTCATTCCATCTGAACACCACATACAGAAATAAAAAGGTCTCTTAAGATACAGCTGCAGTTAATAAATCAGTGATGGGTTTGTTAAACCTGATGAAGGACTCTGGACCCAGAAGCAGCAAAATCTCGATTCATAAACCCAAGTACCGTAATTCCTGGACTACAAGCCGCTACATTTTTCTCCACACACTTTGAACACTGCGGCTTATGCAATGCTGCAGCTAATTTATGGATTTTTTTTTTTTTGACGGGTTAACGAGCTTCATGCCGCCAAAACATTTAGCCTCGTCACACCCGGGTGCTCACATAGCTGCCAAATACTCGTCTATTTTGGGGGGCGGGACCTGCATATTTTATTTTATTTATTGCGAATTTGCCTCGAGACAAAAGTGACTAAGAGCGACAACAAAAGAGACGGAGGACGTGTGTGATGACGTTTTTCTGAGGCGGTTCAATTCTGACACTGAAGAAAAAGACTTAGTGGTTTTAATGCACAGGAGGAATGAAGACAGTGATCAATGACTTTTCCTGGTAGGCTACTGTATAGTTTATTATTTTTAACCAGCCGTGATACAAGCACTGTTCAGAAAAAAATATATTTTACTGTATGTGATTGTGTATGTTACAGGTACACATTTAATTATAAGTAAAAAAAAAAAACCTGTGTGTAAATATCTCATGTTACAACGTGGACACCTGCGGCTTATGTGTACAACTTTTATTCTATTTTTAATTTAGTGGGCACGGCTTATATTCAGGTGTGCTCAAAAGTCCAGAAATTACAGTAAAAGCTTTAGGGGGAAAAAATTAAAAAACACTGATGTAGGACTGTCACAATAATAAATCAATTAATCGCACGATAAACGAAAATCATCAACTCATTTTCATTTATCGGCTTTATCGTTTCTTCGCGTCTCTCTTTCTACTGAAGACACTGGATGACAAAAAGCTCAACTCCGGTGTTCTTCACTGACCCCTCCCTTTCTCTTTTCTCTTTAAAATCTGTTTTAACCGTCCAAAATCGCATTTTTGGATCGTTAAAAGCAGCTAAACTGAGAAGCTAAGCTACGAGCTAAGCTAACAGGCTGATCTTGGGAATAAACCTCAGTTTTGTCGAAGCTCCAAAATTCACGGTTGAAACCCATGCCTTTGTGCAAAAAGTTGTTTTTCTCTGCAAAAAGAAGCTGAGAACTTGTTTACTGATTTTTTTTAATTAAAAGCTTTGTGTGAAAAATGATATGCTAAATAGCTCAAACTACACCGAGCGTCCACCATTTTGAAAACCAAAAAAAAAAAGGAAAGAAACAGCCCATGTCGCGTCAAGGGGCCTCCTTCACATTTTTCTCAGAGACACGCTGCTCGCTCCCTCACTATCCATCCTTCGGTTCAATCTTATACTGCCATCCAGTGGTCGAAAAAGGTACTACACACAAAATTAATTAACCAACATTTCCTCTTAAATTTGACAATAATTACTAATTATTGTCAAATTTTAAACATTATAGTTTATCGCAATAATTTCTAAGACAATTCATCACCCAGCAAAATTTGTTATCGTGACAGGCCTACATTGATGTAGTGAAAACTGAGGGACAAGTTAAACTTGAGGGAGCAAATACACTTACCTACAGTTTGTCTAAATATAAGAATGAATTTCAACTAATTCAATTATAACTCAAGGATTAAACATTCTTATTAGAGGAAGTAGTTAACAAGTATGCAAATTTATAAGATTGCCATAAATATGCCTCAGTAAAAAAAAAAAAATTATTACCTTCTGTAACTGGAAAAGTGTCTGTACTGATGGCGTCCAGAACCATCAGCTCCTTCCCGTCCTTAGATCCACTACGTTTGTGCTTCAGCCTCCGGCGGAAGAATGACCTTCGTGCAGCAGCAGACGTGGTCTTACTGGTGCCGTTGTCATCCTTCACATCAGCCATGCCGTGTCTTCTGTAAAACTCCTGATCCATCCTAATGGAGACAACACCATGTGCACACAAACCCAGACGCCATCAAAATCTGTTTAGACACATTTAAACTTTAGAAATTAGAAAAAGTGGTCCTTCAAACTAATCACAACTGAGAAAGAAATTTAGATTACGTACCTGAAAAATGTCCCAACCAATAAAAACAAATTGAATAAATTAATGGTGCAACTTACATGTATTTACTTGGAATCTGCCCCTTTTCCAGTTTCTGTCCACCCTCATCGAGATGCCAGGCCATCCAGAAACCAAAATTGCCATTTGGCAGCGTGTCTTCAACATACAGGATGTCATCCTTCTTAAAGCTCAGTTCCTGCTCTACTTCTGCCACCCGCTCATAAAGTGCTCTGACAAAAAGATGAACGACATCATCGGTACGTTAAACACAGTCAATGCCAACAATGTCAGAACAGTTCACAAGGTGCTTTTTATAGCCACATCATGAGCTTCACATTCTCAGGTTTGATTTGACTGCTTGAAAATATTTATGCATTTATAAACTCATGAAAACACAATCTGCCTCTTTGTTTTCTGGAGTTTGATTATTTGCATACCTAATGAAGAATCCATCTGCAGGAGACTCTTTGATGTCAGCGAGGCTGCCTGCACAGTTTTGGACCTTGAATGTGACAGTTTCAGCTGGTTTTAACATTTCCAGGTAAGCATCTTCTTTAGTTTTATTCTTCATGCTGATGCCATTGAACTGTAAGAAAACAGTGACTCAGCTGATGAGGACGCAGAGCTTTGTCAACAGAAACCACATCATTTTCAGCAAAAACAATCATCCATCCATCAGGCACCAGTACCTCCAGAATCAGGTCTCCAGGCAGCAGTCCATCTGGGCTCTTCGCCGGGCTGTCATCGTCCAGCATCTCCACAAAAATCCCATTAATGTTTCCTCCGCAAATCTGAATCCCCAACTCTGCATGAATCCTCTTCAACCTCACCAACCGAGATTCTGCAGCTCTGAGTGAAACTGAGCCTGGAAGCCTGGAGGGAAACAAGATTTAGATTAGGCCTATCACCATAAATTTTGCTGGGCGATTAATTGTCTCGGAAATTATTGCGATAAACGATAATATTGTTTGAAATTTAACAGTAAGTAATTGTCAAATTTTAGAAGAAATGTTGATGTTTTGCATGTAGTACCTATTTTGACCACCTCATGGCAGTTTAAGACGGTTTAAACCAAAGGATGGATTTTTTTTTTTTTTTTCTTCATTTACCCTTTATTTATCCAGGTAGTCTCATTGAGCCACGAGAACTCATTTTCAAGAGAGACCTGTTTAGGGAGCAGATGGTGGGGGTTAAGGGCCTTGCTCAGGGGCCCAGAGTGGGGCGAATGAGGGTGGAGGCAGGTGTGGGTGTTTCACCTTTTCCCCCCACATTTTTTTTTTTTTTTTTTTGATGTTGATGGTACCGGGAGGTGAACCTACGACTTTCTGATCGCAAGCCCATCTTCTAACCTCTGCGCCAGTTGAGCAACGTGCCTCAAGAAAAACGGGAGGGAGGGCCCTCGACGCGATATGGGCCGACATGGTGATAATGGCGTACGCTCGGTGTGTTTTGAGCTCTTTAACATAGCATTTTTCACACAAAACTTTTAATTAAAAAATAAATAAAATCAGTAAACAAGTTCTCAGCTTCTTTTTGCAGAGAAAAACAGCTTTTTACACAAAGGCACGAGTTTCCATCGTGAATTTTGGAACTTGACCAGATGGAGGAGGTCAGCCTATTAGCTTAGCTCGAAGCTTAGCTTCTCAGCTTAGCTGCTTTTAAAGATCCAAAAACGCAATTTTGGACAATTAACAGATTTTAAAGAGAAAAAAGAAAGTGAGGGGTCAGTGACAAGCACCGGAGTTGAGCCTCGTCTTCACTAGAAAGAGCGACACGAAGAAACGATAAAGCCGGTAAATGAAAATGAGATTGATAATTTTAATTCATCGTGCGATTGATTTATCGATTATCGCGACAGGTCTAATTTAGATTTCCCAGTCCAACCCTAAACATTCATTGTCTTCCTAACAAAATTAATGGATCCTAAACCTGAAGGAGTTGTGAGGACTTGTGGCAGGAGTGGTCAGCCTGGATGAAGGAGTCATGGTCCCCTCGTCCTGCTCACTTAGATTATCGACAGAGTGATTGTCCCAGCTTGGAGCTACGTCACCTTGGGTTGTCACCTGGTTGCTGAAGGACTCCATCTGAGAGCTAAGAAAAAAAATATAGATATTTTGCCGATCACTTAATGACTCAAAATCAGCTTAAAGGTTTACTGTGTGCTGCTTTCTTACCCTGAATGAGAATGATTTCCCAGCTGAAACATGTGCAGGTTATACTGGGCTAAAATGGTGACCGTGTCACACTGCTGGCCGATCACCAGCCGTGCCTGTTGCTCGTTGGCATTTCGAAGATTGATTCCGTTAAACTGGAAATTGCATCAAGCATTAGAAACAAAAACAAGACAGCTCAGTGAAGTTTACGTGAGGTGGTTTTACCTCGAGCAGCTGGTCGCCAAACTCTAGTCGAGCTTGATGAGCGATGCTGCCCGCCGTTACTTTGGACACAAATACTCCGCCGTTTTCTCCACTCACTATGGAGATTCCCAACGGCTCGGCTCCTTTCTGTACAGTCACGTTGCGTGGTTCTCCCAAGAATGGCCTTAGAGAATAAAAGAGTTATGTCATTCGTTGTTGTAAAGTTTAAAAGGTGCATGTTTGTTTGTTTTTTTCCAAGTAGCTATGATTGCTTCCAGCCTACTGTCTCGATGAAACATTAAATTAGGTCCAAATTCACACAGTTTGAAACGGATCAAAACAAGTTTGTTCACTTTAGTGACCGGTGCAAGAAAGGTTTTATAGGTTCAAAAATCCTAAATATTAAGTCTTACAATTTAATTCATAAGTAATTTTCTGATTGGTTCAAAATTTGTGGGGGAAGGGAGAGTAGAAATGCTGAGAAAATTGATTAGTGCCAACATCCTGTTGTGGATACTGAATAAAACTGAGATCAGGGCTTTTAAAAGGGAAATTTAAGTTTTTAATTTTTTTTTTTTTTTTAATTCCACCAAAATTAAAAAGGTTCATTACAAAGTCATAATACAGACCATCCAAAATAAATAAAATCCACACTATACTTTTCTTATGTCCTTTAAATAAAAGTTTTATAGAGAAAATGTAATTTATTTTTGACAGATGTCTTACTTGTTCCCTTTTCTTTCACATTTAGAAACAGATCCATCCTTGTATTTCCAACTAAATGTCTGAGATTCTACACTTGTCCAAATCCACCATATTCGTTTACCTACACAGAGCACAGCCAGTCGAATGCAACTCAGTCCCCTTATTTAAAACTGTCTTTGGGCAGAATCAGCAGAGATTTGGTTACATCAAGTGTGCACAGTAGTCCCTCGCTCCTTCATGGCTCAACTTTCGTGGACTCGCTCGATCGCGGTTTTTCAAAGATTGAACACAAGGAAAAAATGTGTACAGGACACGATTGGCAACTTTATTACTCATGTGACTGCAACATTACAGGCAGGATACAGTAGTCAAAAGTTGACAAAAATGTAAAATACTTCAGAGAAGCTGCCATTTTTTAGTTTCCTTTGCTCAAAACAACTACATTTCCCAGAAGCCAACAGGGCCCGCCACCTTCTGCTGAAAAACTAGAGGGAAAGTTTTGATCCGATGGGAAAAAGTTGTGCGCTTATTACGGTGACTTCACGCCCAGCAGATGCAGAGAGCCGCACAGAACCCACTGAACCAGAGCAGAACCAGACCTCCAGACCCATCGGTCAATCTTGAGAGTTGGTAGCCAGCCCACAAAGACTTGAAAGCGAGACGTGCGCCGCTGAAGGTCTGTCACTCCATCCGGAGCCCACTGGGACTTTTTTTCATCTCTTTCAACCGGCCCACATGGACCTCCAAGTGGGGATGCACTGGTAAGTAAAATTTAGCAGCTACATATATAATGATGTTAAAATTAGTAGGTTTAAGAGTTTAAAACATTGCAAGAGTGAGGGAAGGGATTATAAAGCCTCAATATATATATAAATACTAAAATAAATAGAACATCGCTACTTCGTAGGTTTTCACCTACAGGTGCTGGTCATAAAGTTGGAATATCTTAAAGTTGATTTATTTCAGTAATTCCATTCAAAAAAGTGAAACTTGTATATTATATTCATTCATTACACATGGACTGATATATTTCAAATGTTTATTTTAATGTTGATAATTATAACTGACAACTAATGAAAACCCCAAATTCAGAATCTCAGAAAATTAGAATATTACTCAAGACCACAAAGTTTGTTTTCTCAGTCATCCAGGTATATAACAACAAAAAAGGTTGAATCATGTCATCTGGACTTTGTTTTTTTGTTAAAAAGAAACGTTTCGCCCCTCATCCAAGAGGCTTCGTCGGTCTGAGGCCTAGCCATCTGGTATTACCCAGAAGCCACCCTGACTCTTGTGTTTCAAGCCTGCCTCAGATACCCCTGAAGTCTGGTCTTTTCACTAATGGTTTCAAAAACACAAAGTTTGTTTTCTCAGTCATCCAGGTATATAACAACAAAAAATGTTGAATCATGTC